TGAGAAACACAACAAACACGAGTTGTTGGTAAATCTGTCCAGTGGGGAGCAGATCCGTCCAGAGGAAACCAGGAGTGACGGTTTATTTACGGTACGACGCTGAACTCTTTTCCGTTGGCCCGTAGCTCCTTAAGGGCGACCCGTAGCGAGCTTTCCGAACCTTTTAAGAAACGCAGAGTCCAACTTTCCAAACACAAGAAAAAAAAAAAAAAGCTTACCGGAGACGAGGAGGCATCCCACCTAGAAGGACCTGGAGACTTTTCTAAACCACATCTGAGAAATGAGCTTCTTCAGCCTCTAATGTCAGAGCTCTGGTACCTCACGTGAAATCAGCAGGGAAAAAAATAATCACATGTAGATCATCGACTCGTCAGAGATGGTATCCTAAGAGCTTAAGGCTGATTTAGTTTTCAGAGAACCAGAGGAGTCATTAGAAGCTCTTGATCCGGTTGCATTTTTCCTCTCTGTTGGTTCTTTTTTTTTTAAAGTCGTGCACCTCTGAGGAAACAGAACAACCAGAACTTTACGAAAAGAGAACTCAGGAATGTCTTCTGTGCAGTTTGACAAACTTAGACAGAAATCATAAACAACTATTTTTAATTTCATAAGAACTGAAAATAACCTGGAATCAGCATGTACGACATTTTTCCAACAGCTGTTATACATCCTAGAAAAAAAAAAACAGACTGGTGGCTTCACACATATTTTACTGTTAATGTTTTGTTTCTCTGCTTGTTTTCTGTCTGCTCTGTGGCAACACGGCCTGCAGCTCAACTGAATTTTTGCCACATGACTGTTTGTTGCAGCTTCGTCACTAATAGCTTAATGGCTGTAAAGAGGACTGCAGAATTTTTTGCTTTTTACAGAATCTCTCTGAAGCAAACGGTTTATTTTTGGCAGATTTTTAAAGATTATTAAGCCGAGGTTTAGTTAATTTTCCCGACGAAACTCAAAGTCGCACATGATTGATTCATAGGTCAGGGGAAAGCTGCAAATATAGTATTTTTATCTGCTTTTACAGCTTCTTTCTATGAGAAAAATGGTTTGATTTTGGTGATTTAAAAAAAAAAAGAAAAGCCAACGTGCTGTCCAAAGTCGGCTGCAGGTTTTTTGGGTTCAGAGAGTTAAAGCACATCTGCTCCGGCTTCACTTTTCATCCGTCTTTCATATACAGTCAATGGTTTCTGCACATGTTTGTAGTTGAAAGAGGCTCACAGGTACTTAAATCTCCAAAAAAAACATGAAGACTGGTTGGACGGACAGCTTTGCAGGAGGCTCTGCTGCGCAACATGTTTCAGCTCCCAGAGACTCCGCAGAAATGTTTGAATGAGTCACATTGATTAAATCCTCGCAGAAGGTCACCGAGGATTTGGGAGAAACTGAGGACAGAAGAGTTTCACAGCGTTGCTGCAAACAAGCTGCTGGACCAGAAGCTCTTTTTCCACCATCAAAAAATAGTCTCGCCATGAAATCTGCAGCTGCTGCTCGCCCAAGTCATGTCCAACTTTTTTTTTTTTTTTTTTATTGTGGATTTTCCAACTTTTCTGCTTTGTGACAGCATCGCTTTGTGTCAACACGCTGCCTCGACTCGTTTCACTCAGACCCGGATCCAACCGACACCTGAGTTTGCTTTGGGGAATATAGAAAGTTCCAGCGCAGTTATGATAACAAAAAATCCACCTTTCTTATCTGCCCGCTGTCTCGTCATCCCCGTTTTTCTCCCTCTTTGCTTTGTGAGCCGAGGCACCGCTGTCCCGGCCTGATAATGCACGGCTCAGCCGGCGATAAGAATTGGGTGAGTGAGGTTTTACAGCTCCGCGCAGACACTTGAGATACAGTTTGATTTAGCGGCGCTGGCGGAGGACAAAAAACAAAGAGCGTAAAGATTTATGTGCTCGCAGGATGTAATTTGCTAATGGAAGAAAGCGGTCGTTTCTGTTCCTCGTTGCTGACGCAGATTTCTTTTTACCTTTGAGATGAGATTGAATCACAGCTCGCGTTCCTCTCGTTGGCTCGGAGTCGGGTCAGGAAGCCTCGACCTCTCCGGGGGGTCGACCGGCCGCGGCCTCTCGCTCGCAGCAGGTCGCTAATAATCTGATTTATAGACGCGACTCGTCCCCGCAGAGCTGCCGGCTCGTGTGCGGCTCGCGGAAAGCAAACACAGATGTGATTAATAGACGTGATTAATTCAATCTCTCGTCTCGTGTGCCAGTCCTCGGGGAGTCGAACACATGACGCGTTAGCTCCGTTCTTTCACACGCAGCGAGAGGTTTTGTCAACGCAGCGGCAGGGTTTGGTGGAAACAGATTACAGATCACTTCTGTTCACGACTTCACCAGTGTTTGTTTTTGGATTTTAATGATGATTTATGGATGCTGGAGTTTTTATTCCTTTTTTATTTACATTGAATTTTTTTTGTAACACGTGCGTCATCCCATCA